AGGCACCCCACTAGGGATCGAGCCTGCACCCCTGTAGGTGCTCTGACCAGGAACCAAAGTGTGACCTCCTGGTTTATAGGTCATGTTCAACCCCTGAGCCACGCCGACCGGACTCGGTTTCCCAATGAGACAGTGCTATGTCAATGAAGCGTCAGCCACCCGGGGAGGGGGGCAGCCTACGCGGTCACCTTAGAGAGGGTGGCATCAGGGGGAGGTGATGCAGGGGGAAGGGAAATGGTGCTGAGGGAGAGAGGGAGGGGCCTTTCCATGAGGGAGGGCACACCCTTTGGCAGAGGCCCTGGAAGGAGAGAGTCCAGAGAAACCCAGGAGGCGGAGTCCCGCTTCCTCCTGTCACCTGCTCTTTCTGTCCCGGGCAAACCAAGGCCCCGGCGAGGGCTGGGGCGGCCAGGGCTAGAAAAGGCTGTCTGGGTACCAGGCTCAGTGGCCAACGGCCTCGGGTTAGGAAGGCCCGCGGGGCCCAGGGTTGGTGGGTACACGCCTGTCACACGGACCATGAGGAGGCATGGAGGAAATCGGGGTCCTAAGTCTCCCCCAAAGCAGCCACCAGGGACAGGGAACGTCCCCAGACCCACTGACCTGGGCTGGGGAGCCTTGGGCTCGCTGGGCAGCAGCTCCCAGGAATGGAGGCGGCAGAGTGGGGGCGGCTGTCCCGCAGGGAAACCTGGCCAGCGGCCCCTGCAAGGCCTGGGGCCTGCACATCCCCCCTGGGACCCACGAGGCTCCCTCATCAACTGCCATCGGAATCCAACCTGGGGGCTTGGCCGTTAAAGGGCCAGTGCTCCCACCCACCTTGCTGCCTGCTGTGGGTGTGTGAGGGTGGGGTGGGGGGTGGGAGGAGATCACAGTTCCTGCCATGTGGTCTGTTCCTCTACCACCTGTGGAAAGCCCTCCACTGTCCCTGTGACTAATATGGCTTCTCAAAAGCTTGGAGTTCTATGTTTTTTTTTTGTGTTTTTTTTTGAAACATGTTTGTTGTTCTACTTATTCATGTATTCATTGGCTGATTCATATATATAATATTCATATTATTGACTTCAGAGAGGAAGGGAGAGGAAGAAACATCAACGATGAGAGAGAATCATGGGCTGGGCTGCCTCCTGCACACACCCCACCAGGGATGGAGCCTGCACCCTCGGCCTGTGCCCTGACCTGGAGCCCAACTGTGCCCCCCGGGCTCAGTGCCACTCAACCACTGAGCCCTGCCCGTGGGGCTCACTGGGGGCTTCCATCTTCCGGAGGCGGGAGGTGAAACCAGGCTACCTGGGCACCTGGCTGCGCTCTGAGCTCGGGGATCAGGGGCCTGGTCTCCCCCACCTGCCGCAGGGCGAGCTGGAGCTGGAGGCCTGGAAGCACCTGTGCATTGGCGCTGGCACCGGGCTACCCAGTTTGGGGGTGGCACTAGGTGAGTGGAGGAGGTGGGTCTGGTGAACTCCCTGGACCGAGTTTGGATTTGGACCCAGGGTCAGGGGAAGCCAGCTGAGTCCTAACCTAGGGTGTGACCGGTTGAGGCTGGGCTTTCAGACCGGGGCCAGCGGGGAGGTGGGCCGGGGGCGGGGCAGGACGTGGCCGGAGGTGCGCTTCTCCCTCCTGAACCGGTCTGGTCACCTCCTGCAGCCTGGCCTCACCTCCCGGGCACAGAGATGGTTGGGAGGAGCGCCCCACCCCAGCTGCCGGTCTACCCGGCCAGTGTCCATGGCAACCTTCCCCGGACAGGTCCATCTCAAAGGCTCCGTCCTCCTGTTTGCACGGCATCCGGAGTCGTGGTCGGTGTTCCCGGTTTCAGTCGGTAAATAACAGGCTGCCTGTCGTTCTGAGACGGGCTGGGGTGGGGCGCGGGGCCGGGAGGCTGTGACCCCCTCCAAGACCCTAAGACCCACGTGGGCAGTGGAGGGGCGCCCCCACCCCCCGTGTGTGTGTGTGTGGTGTGTGTGTGTGTGTGTGTGTGTGTGTGTGTGAATGCACCGGGTTTGGGGCCTCCCGAGGCCTCTGAGCCCCTCCCCTTCCCGCGGGTAACCGCAGGTGATGGTACCTGAGACGTCACCCTGCAGACAGCAGAGCAGCCCGCTAGCCCCCATCGGCTCCTGGGTGGGGGCTCAGGAGAGAAGCGGGGCGCCCCGCCGGAGCGCGGTGGGCGCGGAGTCGGCGGTCGGAAGCCTCGGGAGCTCGCCGTCTTCCTGCAGAGCGGGAAGGTAAGGGTCACTGTCTCCGGTGGCGCCCGGAGCAGAGCGTTCACGGACACCCTGCGCGGATGCCCGGCTCGCGCCAGCGGCCGCCCTGAGCGCGCGACCGAGGAGGGACCGGAGCTCAGAAGAGACGTTGGGGCCCCCCCCAGCCCTCGCTTCCCGGGGGAGAGCTCTGCTGCTCCCGGGAGCCCCGCTGCAGGGGGGGCTCAGGATGTGAGCATTCGAGGGGACCCTGGCACTCTTCAGTTTTCAGAAAGCGCGGGAGAAGAACGGCCTGCAACCGGCTACTTACGGGGCTGAGGCTTTTAAGCAGGAAGCACACACTATGTACTGTTCCTTTAAGGCGTAGGGCCTGCCCGAGGCATTCTGGCCCTCGCCGCGCCCCGTAGCGCGGCTCCGAGAGGCCGGCTTTGTGCTCTGGCCCCGCCCCCACGCCGCGGCGGCCCTTTCGCGCACGCGCACTGCCGGCTCCGCGCCGCCTCATCGATCTCGGCCCGGCTCCCGCCCAGGCGGCGGCCGTAGCGACTCCCGGGGCGCCCTGCCCGCTCAGCCCGCCGCGGCCCCGCAGGTAAGCGGGGGGGGGGGGCCGGGGGGGGCGCCTGCGCCGCGTGCACGCGCGGGGGTCCGACGCCGTTGCACCCCCAAACCGCCGCCGCCGCCACACGTGTTCCGGCGGGCCCGGCCTCAGCCCCGGTCCCGCCCGCCGGGCCCTCGATGCAGGCGCCCCGCGCGTCCGTTCCGCCGCGCCTTCCGGGGGCCGCCTGCGCCCCTCTTCCGGCCGAGCGCGCGGCTCCTCTCCCCGCCGGGGCCTCGCCGCGGAGGCCCGTCCCCCTCGCGCCGCGGCCCCCGGCGCCCACCGGGCCGGCCGCTCCCCGGGGCCTGGTGACGAGCCCGCAGGGCCCTCGTCTGCACGGCGCCCCACGAAAACCTAAAACACCCACGGGCGCCCCGGGCCTGGACGTGGGCGCACCCCGTCTGCCCTGCGCCGCGGGAGCCCGCGCCCGACTTGCTGCCCGGACTCAGCCCGAGGCGGCCAGGCCCAGGAGGGGGCTCGCTGCCGGGAAGGGGAGGCCCCGCGGCGGGCTCCGAGCCTGCGACCCCTGCAGCCCGGCCCCCGGAGCCGTCCCGGGCGATGTGGAGGGACGCGCCCTCCTGGCCGCTTTTCTTCCCCCCGAGGGCCGGGTGCCTCCCGGGCGGCCCGGTGCGGGGGGCGCTGCTCCCGCGGGCGGCCCCGGCGGGGTCGCCGCGTTGCCTCCGGTGCTGCCTCCGCCCGGAGCTCCGGGCCCTGCCTTTTGCCAGCAGCCGGCAGCTCCGGGCGCGGGGGCCTGGCCGCGGGAGGCTGGGCGAACGCCGTGGGCAGGCGGGCCCACCTCCAGTGGCCGTGGGTGTTCCCTCCTCCGAGCGCCTTTCCCAGGAGCAGCTGCCTGGACACTGGCCCTCCCCCGGGGAGACGGGGATCCTGCTGGGAGCCGGCGGGTGTGTGTGGACGCTCTGCTCGCCCCGGAGGGAGGGCTGGGCCTCCTTTCTCCTCACCTGAGGGCATTTGCCCGCCAAGCCGCACCTCCTGGTGGGCCTGCTTTTTTGCTAAATTGCGCTGGGGGCGGGGGCCCCTTTCTCCTCTCCTGTGCTGGGCTCGCCCTGCAGGGCCCCACTGGCCGCAGCCCGGTGTGGTCGCGCGTCCTCGGAGGCTGGGTCCTGGGAAATGGACTTTGTAGCCCGGGTCCTTGGCTCCTCCCCCCCTCCCGAAGCCGCAGAAGGTAATGGCAGAGGAGCCTTGGCCGCTGGCAGCCTAGTGCCACACGTTTCCCCTGGCAGGGCTGCCCGCACCCCGCCCCCCCCGCACCCCTCCCCCCCGCACCCCTCCCCTCTCGCACGCGGTGCAGGGCTCCCTCCGTCCTCCCGCAGGTAGCCAGCCTCGCCGCCCCGCCTGCACAGCTGTGCTGCGTTGTAATTCCTTTCCCTTCTTGGGTGGAGATTGGAGACGTGCTCTTTTGTGTGATGGCTTCCGTTTCCCTTCACTGTGCACGCGTTAGCTCTAAGCTCCAAGCGAGAACTTCGGCGGGCACGCTCCGGAACGGTGGTCCCAGCCCCGGGAGGTGGGTGGCCCGTGGTGCCGGCAGGAACCTGGCGACTTCTCTCCGAGTCCGTGTGCTTCTGGGAGGGGCAGTTCCCATGGTGAGGGAGACTTTCCCTCCAGTGCATGCTCCCCACCTGCAGACTGTGGGGCTGCCCCAGCGGGCAGGGCGGGGGCCCTGGGGTTTGCAGACACGGCTCTCAGCACTGGGCCTTACACGAGAGGCACGTGAGGATCTGGGTGAGTTTCCACACCTGGGCACCGGCCTCCAAGATCTTGCCGGCCGGTTCTTCTCGGACCAGAGCCTCCAGTGGTTTCTAAGGCGGAAGGCCCTTTGAAGAGAGCCTGGAGCTTGCTGGCTGGCGGGTGGGCTGGCGGGAGGGGCTGCATTCCTGCATTCCCACAGGTTGCGTGGGGAAGCGGCCTTGAAGGAGGCCTTGAAGGAGGGGCCTGAGGGAGCCTCCGCCCGGCAGCCTCAGGCAGCATTAGGGATCAGGGTAGCAGTCTGGTGCCTCCCCTCTGAGCGGCTGATCCAGGCTCAGTAAGGTGGTCCAGTGTTTTCTACCCTTTTCCTGGAATTGACTTATGAAACGTGTTTGCTTGTTGGCCTAGGTCCCCCACTGTAGGCTGCGATCAGCCCAGAGCCCTTCCTGCCGAGTGTTGTGTGTGGAGCTGTGAAGCCATTGCCTGCCTCTCCCTGCTGCTGGGTGGGCCTCGGAGCCATGGCAACGGAGGAGAAGAAGCCAGAGACGGAGGCTGCCCGAGCACAGCCCACCCCCTCGTCGTCGGCCACGCAGAGCAAGGCGAGTCCCTGGCTCCGGGGGAACTAACTGCAGGGCATGAGGCTGTGGATGCCGGGGAATGGCGCCCCGGAGTCAGTGTTCTCCCCTCCGAGCAATGCTGCGGGGTTAGTCAGTGCCTGGTGATGTCCAGACCCGTCCCCTGCGGGGGGGGGCCTTAGCCACAACGCCGCTCCTCGCTCCTCGGGCTGAGAGTGTAGGCCCGGCGGCAGCTGATCTGCAGCTCCCCTCGGCACAGTCCTGATGCCTGGGCGGGTGTGCAGACCATGCTGGCCTCTTACCCGGAGCAGCCTTCCGGTGTGCGTGGGGCTGCCTGAGGGGCGGGCGGGCGGGCGGGCGGGCGGGCGCCGGTGTCTGGGTGGGGTGGAGCAGAGGCACTGAGGTGAGGGTTGCAGAAGTCGGAGCTCAGGCTGGCTGTTCAGGTTGAGGGGACATGCAGACGGCTCTGATAGTCACGTGGTACAGGTTTGGAGTCAAGCCGGAGGTGAGCTTGCCATTCAGCTGGGGAATCAGGTTCAGCTGACGGTTGGGCATTTGGGGCTGACAGCTCTGTTTCCTCACCAGCCTACACCTGTGAAGCCAAATTATGCCCTCAAGTTCACCCTGGCCGGCCACACGAAAGCCGTGTCCTCCGTGAAATTCAGCCCCAATGGGGAGTGGCTGGCCAGTTCATGTAGGTATCAGCGGGGCCTCGGGGTGTGTGTGTGTGTGTGTGTGTGTGTGTAAGGGGCTTGCTTTCCGACACCACTCTGTGTGGGTGCAGCATGGGTGTGCCTGTTAGCTTCTGTTGTAATCGGAAGAAGCCACGCCCTGTGGAAACGGTGCCCATTGCCAGTCCGTGGCAGTGGTTGGGCAGTGGTCGGGGAGTGGAAGGTACTGCCCGTTCTCTGTGGGTGGCATTCTTCAGGGTCCCTCACTGTTCCCGGAGCTCACATGGGAAAACCCAGGTTTTGGACTCCGGGTGACTGGGCTCTTTGTTATCCTTTCTCTCAGCTGCAGACAAACTCATTAAAATCTGGGGTGCCTACGATGGAAAATTTGAGAAAACAATATCTGGTCACAAGCTGGTAGGTATCTGCACCCTGGTGGCTGCTGGACACGTAGCTCCAGTGATCACATGGTGGGCCTGTGGAATTGAGTCTCCCCCCAGATTCTTTTTATTTTTTAAATATGTTTTTTATTGATTTTGGAGAGGGGAAGGGAAAGGGATAGAGAGAGAGAAAGAAAGACCGGCTGCCTCCTGCACCCCCCCACTTGGGCATTGAGCTGAAACCAGGTATGTGTCCTGGTGGGAATCACGTGGTTCATGGATCAGCGCTCAACCGCTGAGCTACCTTGACAGGCCCCTCCAAATGCAAGTGGAAGTTTATTTAGAAAAGTCACAAAGGTGAAAAGAGTGAGCTCGGAGAACGCATAACAGAGGCAAAAGAAGGGCCCAGGGGCTTAGGAGAGAAAGACATCGCACAACCCAGGTGCCCGCCCTCGACTGGGAATTGAACCCAAAACTCGGGTGCGTGAGCTGATACTAACCACTGAGCTGCTGGCCGGAGCTGCCACCTCTTGTTTTTTTTTTTTAAGCGAATGCTCCTGAGTCCCAACCAGTTTCTGCCCACGGAGGCCTGTAGTGCCACCGAGAGCACGGTTGTTGGGGGCCACGCGGTGCTTAGCGCTGGCTGAGGACCTGCTTGCAGAGTGGGACGAGCTGTGTGTCCGGTTGGATGGGGGGGGGGGTGGCTTCTGCTGGTTAATTGTGTTTTGTCCCTTAAGGCGGTGACCCTCTTCTCTTGTCTTTTCTCCCTAGGGAATATCAGATGTGGCCTGGTCCTCAGATTCTAACCTCCTCGTTTCTGCCTCAGATGATAAAACCCTAAAGATATGGGATGTGAGCTCGGTAAGCCAAACTCGGGGTCCCCTCCTGGGGAAGTGTGTGTGTGTGTATGGGGGGGGGGGGCGGCAGCTGGGCAGTGGGCCCTGGACGGCCTGGCTCTCCCAGGTCAGCCTCAGTCAGCCTGGCCCCACCAGCCGACCCCGGGTGACAGTCTGTCAATATTTCGTTTTAGGGAAAGTGTCTGAAAACCCTGAAGGGACACAGTAATTATGTCTTTTGCTGTAACTTCAACCCGCAGTCTAACCTCATTGTCTCAGGCTCCGTAAGTGTGTTGGCCTCTGCAGGGCGGGGTGGGCACAGGTGACCTGCTGGCAGTTTGGGTTCGGAGGGTCTGTCAGCTCCTGTCCTCCCTGGGGCGTGGCCTTGATCTCTCCTTGTCGGCAGTTCGATGAGAGCGTGAGGATATGGGACGTGAAGACGGGGAAGTGCCTCAAGACCCTGCCTGCGCACTCGGACCCTGTCTCCGCCGTAAGTCCCTCTGGCCTGGGGGCTCCGGTCCCATCGCCGCTGCGGCGTGGGTGTGGACCCTGTAGAACCTCGGTCTGTGGGGGGGCAGGTGGCTGTGGGGGGGGATGGTGTCCAGGCCGGGAAGTGTGGAGGTGCAGTGTGAGGTTAGGCGGAGCCAATAGCTCTGGTGGCGGCTGGTGGCCGGAGGCGGGACGGCCCAGTTGCGGTGAGAATCGGTTGTGGTGAGAAAGGGTGGTGGGTGGGCCCGAGAGCGCCCGTCCTGCTCGGTGGGGTCCCAGCCCGGCTGTTCCGCAGGGCCAGCGCGGGCACAGAATGCAGTCGCGCTGCACCCAGGCCCCTGCGCCTCCATCTCACCTAGGAGCGGATCATGTGGCAGGAAGCAAGGCCGGTTTATAAGTGTTACTTGTTGTAAGAAGGCTTATCCTGTACAGTTGGCTCGGGACTCCACGGGAAGAGTAGGAATACGTGTGAACTCTCCCTCCGGGCATTGCCACCCTTTTACCAGCACTGAGAGGCAATTGGGGGGAGAAGGAAAACCCAAAGGTTCGTCAGCCACAGTGTCAGAGTGGAAGTATTTATAGGGAGTTGTGTGTCCCCCCAACCCCCTTGCAGAGCTAGACTTTCAGGTCAGGTAAATGGTAAGTGGCCCAGCTGCAGTCAGCCTCGGCTGGCAGCAGGTCCCCGCGTCCCCGCGGGGTTTGGAGCCGCTTGGATCCTTCCTGTGCCCTCCCCCACAAAGCCAGAGCTCAGGCCGCCCGCGTGTGCTGTCCCTGCCCGGCGCTGAGAGTGGTGCGTGTCAGGCCGGAGCTCGGATGGCCATGGGCGGGCACCTGGGTGAGAGGCCACTTGAGTCCATTCTTAGGAGGCTACCGATCCCTCGATTTTTTAAAATTTAATTTTATTTTTTTGCTTTTGTAAAACAATGTCGGGGAAGTCGTTTTCGGTTCCGTTGGGACAGGCTGCCTTCCCTGGGGGGTGAGGGCACTGGCAATGGCTGGGGGCCGGATCCCCAGAAGGACAGGCCCTCCGGAGTGGCCTCCTGCGGCCGTGGTTTATGTTCATTGCGTCTCGTAGTACGTGACTGGCTCTTCCGGACAGACTGCAGCTGGTTTTCTTCTGGCTCCTTGGGGTGCACCATGGCAGCACGAGGGGGTCGCCCGCACTCGGGTGGGGCCGCGGGGAAGAAGCCCGTGTCACTGGCATCAAGTCTTCCTCTCCCTCTCCCCCTCAGGTCCACTTCAACCGCGACGGGTCCCTGATTGTGTCCAGCAGCTACGACGGGCTCTGGTGAGTGAAGGCCTCCCTCCCCTTGGTGACGCGTGCTCGTGGGCCGTGGGCCGTGGGCCTCGGGCAGCGACAGCGGGAGGCAGGCTGCGGACAGGTGGATACCAGTGAGCCTCAGGTGCTGGGTGCTGCCAGGCCCACGGCCAGTGTGTGTGGCGGGAGGGTGCCTCCCTGCAGGGGCTCCGCAAGGCCTGGACCAGACTGAGTGCCTGTGGACACTGACATGGACCGGGCCTGGGGTGGGGAGGCCCGCTCATAGCCTGCCTGGCGTCCACAAGGCGTCAGTCCCGAGTGGTGGACCCAGACCCCCCACCGCAGGCAGCCAGGCGGCAGGGGCTGGGGAGGCGGCCTTGGGGATCGCGGTCGTGGAGCTGGGAGGTGTGATGCGTGTGTGCAGGGGTGAAGGCGCAGGAGGAAGATGGCCATGCGATGGTTTAGGTCAGCGGTCGGTTGGTGAACTCGGCCGAGCATCAGGGCGGGTTGGGAGGAATAGAGGGGTGGCCTCTGCTGAGTCAATGACCTGAGTAGGACCTGCCACGTACAAGGGAGAGAAAGTGTGTCTAGCTTCTTGATCGCGTTCAGCAGAAAGGAGCCGGAAGACAGCAGGCCGCATAGTGAAGGAGGGCGCCCAGGGTGTGGGGGCCGCAGGGCTGGCGGCTGAGCCTGTCAGCGGCTCTCGGGTTTGGGTTAGGCCCCTCTGACCCTTCGTCCTCTTCCGGAAACGCCTAACAGAGTGGCCACTGCGGGTCTGACGGGCGGGTGATGGGTGGAGCGGTGGGAAGCCCAGGGGACAGTGACGTCCGTGGATTTCAGAGGGAGCAGCCCTGGGGGAGGGAGACAGTGATGCCCGCGCTGGCCGGAGAGTGCCGAGGGGAGGGTGGAGGGCGTGGGGGCGTGGGGGCCAGCCCGGCGTGCCTGTGTGTGAGACCCCGCTGTGGAGGAGGAACTAGAGCACACGGTCCGGGCCTGTGCAGCGCCCATTCTGTCCCGGGAACGGGCGGGGAGCTGTGGAGAGGACGAGGGTTGCGAGACAGCGAGCGAGGGGGAAGCGTGTTCCCGCCTGTGCAGTCCCACTGAGGCCACTGGCTGGGACGTGCTTCCTCACAAGGTGTTTGCTTTGCAGCCGAATCTGGGACACCGCCTCTGGCCAGTGCCTCAAGACATTGATTGGTAAGCGCTGGCCCTGGGGGCTCTCCTCTGAGGCTCTGGGAGCCCCTTCTCTGTCCTGGGTCTGCCCCTCAGGGAGGGTTTCCCCCCTCTGCCGCCCTCCCCTCCTGCCCTCTGCCGGCCTCGGGGCCTCCTCCTAGTCATGCCTGGGGCAGTTGTGACTGAGCTTTGCCCTCCAGGCGTGAGGGAGGAGGGGCGTGGGGGAGCCTGGAGCAGAGGCCTGAGGCGAGGAGGGTGGGATTAGAGGGGAGGGCGGCTCTGGCCCAGGAGTCCTGGAGGGGAAGCCTTGGCCTGGGGCGGGTGGGGGCTGTGGGCGGGCTGCAGGCCTGGTGTGCCCGTGAGCTGGGTGCCATGGGCCCCTGGGCCTCGGGCCTGGGAAGGCTGTGGGGAGGGCGTGCACCCTGCAGGGTGTCAGTCGGGAAGTGATGCTGTTGAGCCTCATCACCTGAGCCAGCCAGGAAGTGTTTGCAGTTGGAGGTCAAGGGGAGCCGGTGCAGCAGGCAGCCATGTGGAGGGGCTCGCCAGGGGTTGTGCGCCCCTAAGCTCCCTCCCGAGGCTGCCGTGGAAGCTTGTAAGGCGGGCACCCCCCAAGAGCTGGTCCCTGAGGCTCCCGGTCCTCACAGAGGCTGTCCTGTGCGCTGGTGTCGGACTCCTAAGACCTAGTCAGGCTGAGCAGGCCTCACTTTTTTTTAGTTTTGTTAATCCCCGAGAACATGTTTGAAAGATACATATTTTTATTGATTTCAGAGAGGGAGGGAGAGAGAAACATCAGTTCCCTGACCCAGAATCAAACCAGTGACCCTGCGGTCCTTGGGCTGATGCTCTAACACTGAGTCACACCGACCAGGCCAGAGTCCTTACTGCCTGCAGCCGCCACGGCATCTCCGGGCGGCTGCGCAGCTCTGCTCCCTGTAAGCAGCTATGTGAGCCTTTGATCCGCTCGCCACCGCAGTGGGCAGAGACTGAGGCCAAGAGGCTACCCAGCCCGAGGCCAGCAGCACCCAGCGCCTGGGGAAGGCGGGCAGTGGGCAGTGGTTCCTGGTCCCGTGTCTCAGTCCTGGTCTAGGAGGTAGAACCTTCTGGACTTGAGCATGTGGTCCTGCTGATGCTGTGCTCAGGGGCCTGGGTTGGGCTGTCGGTGCTCTCATCTCGCCTCGTTACCCGCCGGCCTCCCAGTGCGGCCCCGGTGACCCAGGGGCCTGCGGCCTCACACCTCCCTGTGCCTTTCCAGTGTCTGGTCCCAGCCCGCGGCCCCAGGCGCCCCGCAGGCAGGCTCGGGTTCTCCGATGTGGTAATGCCACTCTCCCGGCACCCGGGACACCAGCCGCCCCTGCTCCCCCTCCAGGTGCAGCTCCGGTCCCCTCGCCCGGCCAGGCGGCACGCACTGTGCACTGTCACGTGGCGGAGAGGCCCTGGGGCTCGGAGTGCTGAGCCCGCCGGCTGTGAGGGGCGGTGGCTCCGGCCCGGCCCCGGGCCGCCGGGCTCAGACGCAACGGTGTGGGTGTACTGAGGGCGTTTCTGGAGGAGCTCACAGATCTTTCCCAAAAAAACACAGAGCGTTCACCCAGTCGTTTGCGCGTCCTGACCTCCGCCTGCCTGGCGTGTGCGTGTGTTTCACATGAGGAAGCTGATCCTGGATCCCCCACTGCCCGTGGGGGGCTGGCACCCCGAGTATGCACCGCTGCGGGCCCTGTGCTCCCCAAGCCCTCCTGCCGGAGGTGATGCCCACAGGGCCCATGAGCTGCACACGGGGCCACGAGGGGTGTTGGCACCGGTGGCAGCTGCCTCACCTGAGGGTCCTAAGCAGCGATGGGTGGTTCCTCCTGCCCCCGGGCTCGAGCCCTGCTCAGCCCCCGCTTCCCGCAGATGACGACAACCCCCCGGTGTCCTTCGTCAAGTTCTCCCCGAACGGCAAGTACATCCTGGCGGCAACCTTGGACAAGTGAGTGCTCCCGCCGCCCCGCAGCACCCCTTCCGCGGGGGATGGGCCCTCCCCTCCCCTCCCCTCCCTCCCCGCCCCCCTCCCCCTCCCCCTCCCCAGCTGCAGGATTGGGGGACAGGCTGAGCTTTGGTTGGTTCTGTGCAGATGCCCACGGCTGAGTATCGTTGCGTTCCTTGGGGGGTGTCTTGCTGCGCCGGCTGGTTTCCCAGTGTGTCCGAGAGGCCCAGCGCCCTTGGGGGGCCTCTCTGCCCTGGAGGCGGTGCTGTGCTGAAGTCTGGTGGGGGTTTCTGGAACCAGGTCCCCACGCCCCTCTAGCAGGCATGAGATGACCCTCAGTGATGTGGGAGCAGCCAGCAGCTTTCTTTCAAAATGTCTTTGAGCTAAAGATTTGGGGTTCTCGCGCTGTGCTCTGGGGTGTCCTCAAATCCCACTGCTGGCGCTGGCACTGGCACCTGCACCTGGGGCTTCCAGCCAGCAGAGGGCGCAGTGACAGCAGCCGGGGAGCGTGTGTGACCCCCTCTCTCCTTCCAGCACCCTGAAACTCTGGGACTACAGCAAAGGGAAGGTGAGCAGCGGAGAATGCCGGGCGGGGTGCGCAGGCCGGGGGAGGGGGGGGTGTTGAGTAATGCTGAGCTGAGCTGGGGGCTCAGAGCCACGTTCACTGAGTTGGTTTGGTGCAAATTTCCCCACGACGTGGGTGTTTGCTGCTGGCACGTCTGCTCTGACCACGTGACGTAGGCTTGTGCTGCGGGCATTTGAGTGCTTTTCAGGTGATGTTCGGTTAGCCTTAAAGGTCCGGCCCTCAGAATTCGGGGACTTGTCCGGGAAGCGGGCAGCGGGACTGACCGTGCCCGTGTCCTTTCAGTGCCTGAAGACTTACACGGGGCACAAGAACGAGAAATACTGCATCTTTGCCAACTTCTCCGTGACCGGGGGGAAGGTGAGTTCTGAGAGGCCCTGCCGAGGGGTGGAAGCTCAGGCGCTTTCTGTGCACAAAACACACACACACACACCCCCCTAAAAACGGAGCCACACGCTGCATGTGGCGGCGGCTGTCATCAGAAAGGGGATGTCGTGACTCGGGTGCTCCTGGACTTGCCGGGCCTGTAAGTCAGACCTGGCACAGCTCCCGGGAGTGGCGGGCACAGGTGGGCGCCTGAGTGGTCGCCTACAGGCCATGCTTCCCAGAGTGGGGCTGCAGAGAGCGGGGGCCGCCCAGATCTGGGTCCCAGGCCTGGCCGCCTCAGTCCAGGGGAGTGGGACTAAGGAGATGGGACGTTCAGCTGAAATGTACGCGACACAAACTATAAGGTGGTGATTGGAGAAAACATTTTACATCCTTGAGGCTCGCTGTGTGCGGCTGTTTCTGAGTGGCGGGCGGGAGGGAAGGTCGGGGCTGTGGGAGCTTCCCCTCACTCGGCCCTGTGTGCCCAGTGGATCGTGTCTGGCTCGGAAGACAACCTGGTGTACATCTGGAACCTGCAGACCAAGGAGATTGTGCAGAAGCTGCAGGGCCACACAGGTGAGCGGCAGCCCCCGAGGGCCTAGGCCAGGCGGCGAGGGAGTGCAGGTGTGACCCAGCCTGGTGTGGCCTCCTTGGGCCAGGCCAGCACCCCGGGGGCTGTCGCTGTGGGCAGGGCCCGAGGCCTGTCAGGGACGGGCTGTGTGAGTCCGTGGTCAGCGCTGGGGGGCTGCCCTGGGCTTGCCACAGGGAGGGCGCGTGTGGACAGTCTCTCGTTTGCAGACGTTGTCATCTCGACGGCATGCCACCCGACAGAGAACATCATCGCCTCGGCCGCGCTGGAGAACGACAAGACCATCAAGCTCTGGAAGAGCGACTGCTAGGCCCGCGCCGCGGCCGGGACGCTACCAACCGGCAGGGGCAGAGCCCGGGGTCTCCTGACCCAGGCTGGGGTGGGGGCGGGGCCTGGGCCCCTCTGAGGACCTTGAGGCCGAGGGGGGAGAGGTCTCACCAGTAAGTTCTAGAAGGTGACGTTCTTGCCAGTTCCTCTGGCTGGGAAGAGTTCCCAGTCTCTTGTGTTCCGTCAACAAGACTTTTCATTTTTGTTTCAGAAGGTGAGGCGGTTCAGTTTATCGCCGTGTTTCCCCAGGAAATGTTCTGTGCTGTTTTGATGTTTTATTCCCGTGCTGGCGCTGTGACCCATCACCTCTCGGCCTCTCTGCCAGCCTCTGCAGGTCCCAGTCATTCCCCGTGTGGGTGTCGAACCCAGACCCTGTGAGGCTGCCTGGGAACCTGGGGCTCGGTGCTGGTGTGTGGTGCCCACGCAACACGCTGCGCCTCAGGCGGGACGCAGAGGGCCTGGGCCGCGTGGCAGCGCCGGGCACCCTGTCCCTGCGCTGGGCCCGCACTTTACACTGCGCGCGACGGGCGGGGAGAGCTCCGGGGGCTAGCTGCGGGGGCTAGCTCTGGAACGTTGCAGATGGCTCTTGGGGTGGCCCCTCAGTTCCCCGGCGCAGGCTCTTCTCCGAGGGACCGGCCGGAGGCTGGCCTCTTGCCGGCTGAGGCCCGGCAGGCTTCTTGGAGGCCTCGGCGGAAGGGAGCAGGGTCTGTCATCCGCCCGCCTGGCCCTCCTGGCCGGCCAGCCTGGGAGTGGGCATGAGGCCAGGACTGCAGAGCAGTTTGTGGCAGTGGCTGGTTCCTGGGGACCCCTGATGTAGCAAGTGTCATCACCCCCCCCCCCCCTCCGGTTTGAACCCAGTCTGCAACACAGACCTTCAGTGGAGGCAGGAGGGAGGTGCAGTCTCACTGAGGCTGGGTGAGCAGATGCTGACATCCATCCACAGCCTCGGTCTCAGCCCCTGCTCTCCTGAAGCTCGGGCCCTGGTTTTGGGGTTCGGGAAGGTGCTAAGTGGTGATGGGCTGTGAGGAAGTGGGGGCCACCCTCAGACAGACCGCCTAGGAACCCCCTGGTGGCCACTGTGGCCCAGGGCGAGTATTACAGTTCTGAAGGCTCATGGGGCGGCAGTCACAGACCGTGGTTGGAAGTACGGTGTTCGTGGCTTGTCTGTCTGTGGGACACGGCCGCAGGGAGAGGGTGAGGGCTCGGGCCGGCCGGGCTCGGGGTGTCCTGATCGGAGAGCTGAGGCTCCAGGGGCTTGGCTGGCGGTTCCTAAGGAGGTCCCTGAGGAAGGGGGAGGTTCCTTGTTTTGTTGCTTCTGGGGTCAGGTTGCCCCGGGAGGAGGGGTGTGTGCGGAGCACTGTATCCTGAATATAGTGTATTTTTTCTACATTGCAATTCTCTGTTGTAGATTTATGTAAAAACATTCACTTTTTGGAAATAAAGATTTTCATGTCTTGTACTTTTGTCCCCTGAGGATTTTTCACCTTCATGTGTATCTGTTATGGGGTGGGGTTGCTGTGTGCCTATTGCAGCAGGGGCCTTGGGCGAGAGTTCATGGGTTTTAAAAACCAGCCTGTACTACTCGGAAGGTTATCACAGGGAGTGTGACAACCAGGGAAAGCGGAGACCCTCCCGCCCAGTCCTCCAGCTCCCGAGACGGCGCCTCTGCTGCCTGTGGCCCTCCCCGTTAATGCAAGTCCCAGGGCGCTCATTCTCTAGGCAGCAAATACGTAGAATCTCAAAGGAATTTCTTTATAAAAAGCATATTTTTATTGACTTTAGAGAGGAAGGGAGAGGGAGAGAGAAACATCAATTGGCTGCATCCTGCCGCTGCCCCCACTGTGGATGGAGCCTGCAACCAAATCGAACCGAGACCTGGTTTACAGGGCAACACTCGGCCACTGAGCCACACCAGCGGGGCTAAACTTCCAAAACCTTCCACACACCATAGGCACACCATCAGTCAAGCATTCACTATCCAGCCTTAATACAGTGGTTGGCAAACTCATTGGTCAACAGAGCCAAATATCAACATCACAACGATTGAAATTTGAGAGCCAAATTTTTTAAACTTAAAAAATATAGGTAGATACATTGTTAACTTATTTAGGGTCCTCCTAAGCTGGCCTTTGCAGAAAACTCAAGGGGCCAAAGAGCCGCATGTGGCTAGAGAGCCACATTTTGCCGACCACTGCCTTAATATCTTTAAAAAAGTATATATATCCGCATGCTTCACAAAAACGAAAGCTAAAAAAGCTGACAGGTGTATACACACATCTGTGTGTACATGTCCGTGTGCTCATGCACGTTCACAGGGTGTGAACTGCCCCGCTGAGGCCTGCCTGTGGGAGGCCTGCCTGTGGGTGGCGGTTGATCTCCAGCTGCTCCGTGCCCCGCCCCTGACTAGGCTAGTGCTCCCCTGCAGCCCTGAGGCTGTGCCTGGTTGCCCTGCCCCAGCTCCTCCCAGAAGCTCCATGGCTGGACTTGTTGCCACCAATTTAAAGAATTCAAATACCCACGGATACAGCAAACAAAGCAACCAGAAGTACATACACACGTGTCTGTGTACACATGCTGAAGGGAATGTGCACATGGATTCAAAACGGGCAGGAGTGGTTGGTGGACCCCCACAGGGCAGCAGTCCTGTCCCCTGGGCAAGGCTTTGGCATCTCCGTAGGTGACACTTGTCCACCCTGCCAGGCTCCCTGCACAATGGCGGAGACACCAGAGGCAGAGGGCCTGCACGGAGGGCACCCGCTAGCCCTCGCAGGTTCGAGGAAGACCAAGGCGCCCTGGCGTGCCCATGTCAGTGAAAGGAAAAAAAAAAACAGTGGTTAGATGCCACGAAGTAGGTGGCAATGCCTTAACCGTATGCGTGTTGTTAGGCCCGAGAGCCTCTTCCATCCTTGTCAAGGGGAGTGCTAACCTTCTCTCCTTTCATACAACACAACCTGAGTGTGGCGCCGTTGGCTATTTAAAACCCTCTACTCCTATCACTTTTAGGTTATGGTAACTTTATATTCTGTCTCAGAAACACAAGAGAGAGTACTCACATTCACTAGGACCCACAACATCTACATTAAAACCGTACAAATTCGTTTTAGCGTGTGGAAAAGCCTCTTTTTCGAACTCTAATATATGCATAAATACAGCCAATCAGAGACCGCGAGGAACACCCGGAAGTCCCGTGTCTACAGCAAACTAGATTCCCCCGGAAACAAAACAGCAACGTGGCTCTCCAACGGTCGTGAACTGGCTCGGAAGTCTCTGCGGAAATGGAAGTGGTTTGTAGCGAATCAGAGGACGAGGAAGGAAGCTCGGCTCCACGGACTTCCGGACGCAGCCCAGCGCTTGGAACTGTGGGTGCTCGGGGCGGTAGGACTAGAGGGACGTCGCCCGCCCGCGCTCCGCGCCCCCCCCCCACAGCTTCTGCGCATGCCCGGCGCTGCCTTGAGGTTGTGGGTTCGAGCCGCAGCCGGGTCGGTGTGCGCGGAGCAGGCCCTCGCTCCTCCCGCCCGCCCTTCCCTCGGGGCTTTAAAATGGAAATCCGGTGCCTCGGGTGCTGGCCGTCCGGCTGGGTAGGCGACGGGCCGCAGGGCCCCCGCCCGCCTCCGCGCGAGCCGCGGCCCATCCCCAGGCGGCGAGGCGGGGCCTCCGGACGGCTGCGGGCGCGCGTCCCCGGGCGGCGCGCGTGTGCGTGTGCGTGTGCTGCGGGTGCGTGCGTCTGGGAGACCTGCGAGTGCGCGTGTGCATGCATGTACTTGTGCACACGTGCGGGCACGCCCACGCGTGCAGCATCCTGTGTCCACGCACAACTAGGTGTCCACACACGTGTGCAGAGACAACACAGGGCGTGGGCCGCAGGTGGCGGAGCGGGCTGGGCGGACACTGGGAAGGTTCAGGGAGGCCCTGAGAGAGGCAGGGAGGCCCTGGCTGCACGGGAGAGCGCCCCCCTTTGCAGAGTCTGCGGAGAGAATGGAGGTGAGAGGTTCCGGAGAGAAGTCCGGAGGGAACCCGGCAAGGCCTGAGGCCTGAGGCCTGGCGCCTCCCCCCCCCCCGCCCCCCGAGGCTGAGGCCGGGCACCCCCCTCCCCGGGGAGAGGCTGAGGCCCGGCGCCCCCGGGGGAGAGGCTGTGACGGAGACGCGCCTGGAGGCCTTCCTGAGCACCCACTGGGTGCTGAGGCCTGGGTCGCCCGCACAGGTGTCTCTCGCTTCACTCCCACATCCTGCGAGGCAGCGGCCCTCGGCAGCCCCACTCTGCAGCTGAAGACAGAGAGGCCCAGGAGGTTGGTTAATTGTGCAAAATTACACTTCCGCTGGGGCAACAGGTGGGTGTGAGCCCGACTGGGGGCGAGGCCAGGGAATCTTACTTGGGGGCCCTCAGACCCGGGCCTGGGCCCCGGGGTCTGGTCACAGGCGGGGTTCCATGGGGGCGCCGGGTCCCAGTGACGTCACCTGCCCCGTGGCCTGGGCCTCCCCTTCCTCGGGGCTGCAGCTCCTGGTCCCCATGGGTTTGGACAGAAGGGCCGCTGGCTCCTAGGGCCCAGACCAGGCCTCGCGAGCTTGAGTATGAAACCTGAGATCAAAACGCTGGTTCCAGCCCCTCCCTCGAGTCTGGGGTCTGCATTTAGGAACCTGTTTGCCCCCACCCCACCCGGCAGCCTGCCCTTGCTCTGGGCACTTAGCAAGAAGGACCAAGATGTGGGGAGCACCTGTAGGCTAAAGCAGAGGGCTGCACGGGGCTGGAGGACCAGGCCGGGGACGGTCCACTGACCCGTGTGACCGCCAGGACGCGGGACCAGCAGATCCTGCCCCTTCGCCGTGGCCTCGGCAGAGCCTGTGGGCGCTGGGCCCTGCAGCTCCCGAGTGCCTGCTGAATGAACGCGGGTCGGTGCCCTGGACCCTGGGGCTGCGTCCTGGGCAGGAGGCCGGTGGGCGAGCAGAATGACCACCTGTGGGGCGCTCACCAGCATCGGAGCTCCT